AGCCGGCACAACCAAGGAGCACTTAGGCCTGGCCATGGCGCTGAAAGTTCCCATCTTCATAGTGGTCAGCAAAGTGGACCTGTGCTCCCGCGGCGCCGTGGAGCGGACGGTGCGCCAGCTGGAGCGCGTCCTGAAGCAGCCGGGCTGCAACAAGGTGCCCATGCTGGTGTCCAGCCCGGACGACGCCGTGACCGCCGCGCAGCAGTTCGCCCAGTCCACGTGGTCAGTGCGAACGCCGCCCCTGCCCCCGCAAACACAGCTCACACAGCTCACACCATGTGGCTCAGAGTCAGAGATTAAATTCAATTTAATTTGATTATATTTATATAGCGCCAAATCATAATAACAGTTATCTCACAGCCCTTTCCAAACAGAGCAGGTCAGAAGGTCTGAAGTCATTTACAGAAGCCCAACAAGAGCAAGCACTAGGCGACACAGGCAAGGAAAAACAGGCAGAAACCTGGAGCAGAACCATGGCTCAGGGTGAAGGGGGCCATCTGCCTCGGCCGGTTGGGGGTGAGAGAGAGAGAGAGAGGGAGAGAAGGACAGAGGGAGAAGAGGGAGACAGCCTACACAGTAACACATAGACTGGAAGAAAAATGGCAATGATATTGATAGTAATGATAATGATAGCAGTAATGATAGCAATAAGACTATGGAACAGTGGCTGTAATTGTAGCAGAGTAGGAACACGGCGACAGTAGGAGACTCCCAATCACAGATCCAGCTTGCACAGCTCAAGAAACCGGCAGGAAGTGATAGGAGGAAACTCCCAACCACAGATCGAGACCCTACAGCTCCAGAGCCAGGAACATATGCAGAAAGTGATAGGAGGAGAAAGGAGAATGTGGTTGCCCTGGGAGGGAGAGAAAGAAAAGAGAGGGGAGTTCGGTGCATCGTGGGAAATCCCCCGGCAGTCTAGGCCCATAGCAGCATAACTAGGGGTGGATTCACCCTAACTATAAGCTCTATCCTAAAGGAAAGTCTTGAGCATACTCTTAAATGTAGAGACGGTGTCTGCCTCCCGGACCCAAACTGGAACCTGGTTCCACAGGAGAGGACTCTGATAGCTGAAGGCTCTGGCTCCCATTCTACTTTTGAAGACTCTAGGAACCTTTAAAATACCCCTGTCGGTCACACCGGCCAGCAGCTGCAGGATGGAGTAAACCCGCTTCAACAGATCTGTTTCCGTACCAGGTTGTGACGTGGATGTGAGAGGATGTCATTTCTGTGTGTGAACAGTATCACGCCCATCTTCACGCTGTCCAGTGTGTCTGGGGAGAGTTTAGACCTCCTAAAGGTTTTCCTGAATATCCTCCCTCCGCTGAGCAACAGCAAGGAGCAGGAAGAGCTAATGCAGCAGCTCACAGAGTTCCAGGTACACACACTCAGACACACGGCCCAGTTTCCACGATCTGTAGAGGATCTTTTAGGCATGGCAGGGGTTGGGAAACAGCAATGGCTGAGACTGTTAAGCTCAAAATAAATGAAAACAGAACCCTCCAAAGCAATATCAGGTTTTTGAAACAGCGAAATGAGGATGCTTTGGTTTTTATCTGTGTTTGTTTGTTTCCAGGTGGATGAGATCTACTCAGTTCCTGATGTGGGGACTGTGGTGGGGGGGACTCTGTACAGGTGAGAGCATCAGGCTTTAATGGGAACGAGTGAATTCATCAGTGGTTCAAGTGGCCCATAAAGTGTGGATTCAGTTAAGGAGACAGATTATGTCCTTGACACGATTTCCTGAGGTGATGCTTAAATATATTCATGGGTTTGGTTCAGGCCACTTAAATAGCTCAATGTACCCAACCAGGGCTGCGATTGTACAGTATGTGTTCTCAGCGATTATTTGAACAAAAATATGCCCCTAATCTCATAAAAGTCCATATTAAAAAATCTTTTTGTTGGTCAAAAGTATCGATACTCAAAAAAGTATCGATACTAAAATAATGTATCCGGATACGATACTCATTTTCAAAAGTATCGATACCACCGCAATATAGACATTAATTTAAAAATATTGAAATTAATCTTTCGAACACTGAATTAAACTCTATCCATAATATTATGTTAAAATAGTGTAATGTTGAATAGGTTTGTAGAATAAGTCCAAACAAGTTTAACCCAAAAATATTTATTTCTCTAAATTATGAAGGTTGTAGGGTTAGGGTTAGGGTTAGGATTAGGGTTATTAATGCTGGCCACCAGTCACAATAACATTAGTAACAGGTCAGTTTGAAACCAAAGACACTAACCTGTCAAAATTCAGTTAAATTTTGGGATCTTTGTTTTTATTCTTGTGGTATCGAAAATGGTATCGAGTATCGAGTATTTTCCTGAGTATCGGTATCGAGTTGAAAATTTCAGTATAGTAACAACCCTAGTCCAGACTCACATGAGTGAACGCATATTGTCCTAATGCTAACCAAACCCTAACAGATTCAACCTCCTCCAACCATATTCCTTTCCAGGCTTGGGCAAGTTAGGAAGGAAATCAAATATGAAGTAAAATAAATAGAGATTAGGTTCTAAGTGATGCTAATAGATGCATGATTCTCCATTCCTCCCATGGCCTCCTAAACCCACCTTTGTGTTTCCAGTAACTGTAGAGGTGACTGTGTGTGTGTGTTCCAGCGGAGTGTGTCGGGAGGGCGAGCGTCTGGTGGTGGGACCCACAGACGAGGGCCGCTTCCTGCGCCTGAAGGTGGGGAGCATCCAGAGGAACCGCTCGGCCTGCCGCGTGCTCCGGGCCGGACAGGCGGCCACGCTGGCCCTGGGAAACTTTGACCGCTCGCTACTGCGCAAGGTCAGAGGTCACCTATGAACAGGGAGGGGGGGGGATCTTATCTTAAGTCATTTGACATACTCTGTAATGGTTTGGGGCACCATCGCCTAACAGCCAGAGGGGTTCTGGGATCCAGTCCCCGGGGGAACCAGGACCTTTCTGTGTGGAGTTTGCATGATCTCCCTGTGTCTGCGTGGGTTCTCTCCAGGTTCTCCGGCTTACTCCCAGCGTCCAAAAACCTGCATGTTAGGTTGATTGGACGTTCCAAATTGCCCTTAGGAGTGAGTGTGAGTGGTTGTGTGTCTCTGTGTGACCCTGCAATGGACTGGTGGACCGTACAGGGTGTTCCCTTGCCTCTCGCCCATTGACTACCGGCTCGAATCCCCCCACGATCCCGTTAGGGAATAAGCGGTTACGATAACGGATGTAATGGTTTGGTCTTGTAGCTGTTGGTCATCAACCTCCACTGAGCTCGGAGTTTGACTCATTAAATCTGTCTTTTAAAGTTAGATTGTTATTGGTGAAGAAAACCTCTAATTCGGCTCGATACTGAAATGATTGAACTCATCTTTGTCTTTTACATCCAGTACATTAACCATCTCTGAGGTTGCAGTCTATTCAGAAAAGATATCCTCTGTAAGTAGTAGATACAGTTGTTCACAGATGTGCAGAAGGACAGCTGTAGGCATGAAACAGCGGTTCCTATGGCGTCAGCCAGGGTCACCATGTGTATCTACATCTGTATCTACGCTATCACTGCAACGCAGCAAACACGGAAAAAATGTTTCACACATACAGTGTACAAAGGAATTCAAGCCAAAGCGGTCAGAACAATCAGTGCACACTTCAGATATAATTTTAGAGAAAAAATTGTATTTTAGATAATTTCTGGAAACACTATTTATTAAAAAAAACAATACAGTAGAAACTCTACATACTGATTAAATTCATTCCGCGACCTACTTCGTATGTTAAAATATTCGTATGTTGGTTCAAATATTCCCATCAGAATACGCTGTAATTCCTATAATTTACCTCCTCAATAAATACTGTAGATAATTACACATAGCAGTAAAACAAATGCATTATGTGAGAGAGATGTAAAAAGAAATTAATTCTAAAGAAATAATCAATAAAAAGGTTTTTTTTATTGGCACTTATTTGTGAACGGAGGTAGAGCTGGAGACTGAGATAGAGGACGCACCCTAACTTACTCTAACTTTCACTACGTGAACTTTAAAGTAACTTAGCTTATTTATTCTTATTTAATTTATATATATATATATTTTTTTTTTTTCTCTATGATTTAGACGTCATGTGTTGAAAATTTACTTTGGGTATCGAATCGAATATTTGATCGAATTTCACTTTGGATGTTAGAAAGTAGAGGTTCTACTGTATTTTAGATCTTTTCTAGAAACACTATATATAAAACAAAAATCAATATTCTAAAACGTCACCCCAATTTTAAATTCCTGAAGACTTTAAATCCCCCATTCCCTGGGCTATCTTATTCCTGATATTCCTGACGGATATTATCTCCTTCGGTAAATCTCCCACAAAGGCAGGAAGTGGCCGGTCTCCCTCAGACCACACGGGCCCACACGGGGCTGATGCCAGTGGCTGTGTGATTGCAGGGCATGGTGATGGTCAGCCCCAAGATGAACCCGACCATCTGCTGCCAGTTCGAGGCCGCCATCGTGCTGCTCTTCCACGCCAAGACCTTCCGGCGCGGGTCGCAGGTGACCGTGCACGTGGGGAACGTCCGGCAGACGGCCACGGTGGAGGGCCTCAACGGAAAGGTGGGTGGGGACGGCGGCGGGGTGGCGGCGTTCCGGAGTTTCGGTGTGAGCCCGTTTTCCTCTGCCGCAGGACGAACTGCGCACGGGGGAGAGGGCCGTGGTCCGCTTCCGCTTCATCAAACACCCCGAATACCTGCGTCTGGGCGCCAAGCTGCTCTTCAGGGAGGGGGTCACCAAGGGGATCGGGCACGTCACGCGCCTGCTGCCCCCCTCCCAGAACCACGACCAGAACCAGAGCCAGAGCCAGAGCCAGAACCACGACCAAAACCTGCCCGAGTACTGAGGATTTCCTCATTACGGGATCATCCACCACCGAGTTCCGGGAAAACTTCAGCCAAGCTCGGTTTGAGCCGAAGCTTAGCGTCCCCCTCTGGGACTTAACGCCGAAGACTTAATCTGACGCCGTGCCACAGACTGATTGGAGAGCGGGATTATTCGGGAGGGGGGGGTGTTGGAAAGGTTTTCCGAGCAGGACGGCCCTTGCTTCTTCTCTTGCGAGGAGAAAAGAAGAAAGCAGCGTGCATGTCTCTTGTTTTTTTGTTGTTTTTTTTTCATTCTGAGAGATGTGCTCGCTTCTCGTTAATCTGAGGCTGATTTCTGCCCTCACTCATCCTGTCAGATGTTCCATAACTTACAAACAGATGATCAATCTTTAGCTGCCTTTCGTGTTCGAGCCCATCAACCGTCCATTAGGAACATTTTACTCCTCACATTTCCCACTCCTCAGCATTTTTCTGGAAGAGTTTGCGAGGACCTACGACACTTTGCTGTGAGGATGTTACTCTGATGAGTTTATGGAGGGGACGAGCAGCCACCAATGTTTGATAATGGTGTTCTTGGAATTTCTCCTTTCCTTTCCATAGCATTTTTAGTCAAATTTCCCTTTCCTCTGTCCTCTGAGGGACACGTAATACCCATATTAGCAGAACCAGACTGAGTATCTCACAAAGCTCATAACATAAATTACACATAACATAACAGAACATCCACCCTCAGTGAATTTGAAACGTAAAACAGACCACAGATTTCCCTTCACTCTGTTTTTCTGTTGTCCCATTAGTCCCCATGTGACCGTTATACATTATTAAATCAGGATTTTAGCCACAAAATGCAGCATAATATTCTTTGATAGTTGGCCAACAGAGAACGATGTCTTAAAGATATCCGCTACAAAAACACCAGAGCTTTCACATCTCTGAGGACGTGGGAAGAATAAAATGTCTTCTAAAAATGACATTTTTTATTGCGCCGAAGCACCAAAATCAAAAGAAACAATACCCAAACCTAAAGTTTATTTGTTGGATTCAGTGTCCGTGTTCAGGATTTCACAGTGTGTGAACGTCCGTCAGCTTTTTGTTTCGTGTTTTCAGTCAGAGCAGGCAGTGAAAGCAACCACCCCCCACCCCCCCCGACCCCCCCGCGGAAGCACAGCCTGCTGCCTCCTCCAGTCCGAGCGTTGTCGTGAGGGCCAGCTGTCACTGTTTAGCACCACGAGGCGTCTCCGGGCTTCGTCCGGACGAACTCCGCTGCCTTTTTACGTAAGATCACACCTTACCACCTTTTACATCAGCGTCCTCCTGCTTTTTGCACCATATTCCAATCCTCACGACACTCCTTTCCTGCTCAGTCGTTAAGTTTGACCCTCCGGAAAAGGAACCACACCTTAAGTTTCCATTCAAAAGATGACTCTTTGCAGCTATATTGAGTTTGTCGAAATCGAATTTTGACTTTTGAAACCTGCACGAGCACTACTTAAAGTCAACCGAGATCTTTGTATCGTGGACTTCAGTTTGTTCCAGTTATCCTTTTAGGTTTTTCTTGTGGATTTGTGAAGTTTGTTCGGTTCGGATGCAGCAGACAGCTTTGCGCAGCCGCTCATAACATGCATGTTCTTAAACTGACCGATTCTTTGAAATATAACAAACGTCGAAGATTAAGATGTGGCTGTTTGAAACTTCTTTTTTTTTTCAGGTTCTGTGCAATTAGATGTTGAATGTAATCTCTGTGATCTGAGGTAGATTGCCGTTCAACCCGACTTGCTGTTGATTTTGCACTTTGCATGTGTGTTGGACAGCCGGGATAATGCAGTAGATAGATGACCGGTCAGTGTGGGACATCACACAAATTACAGTTACAGCAGAATACTGAAACGTCACAGCGAACTGAAGGTTGCATTCCTTTTACCGTCCTTTATGCTCTTCAATAAATAGTTAAAGTGTAAAAAAAACTGAAGATGTGTGAGATGTTTGGCTTTTTTCCACTTACCGGTACACAAAAGAAAAATACACTTTTATCATTTCCAACATTGTAAATTCCATCTTCTCTATCTTCCGAATGGGTTGTTTTAGCTTTGTTTAGTACTGAGACAGACTAAGACAACCGGACAAATTCTATTTTCATTTGAAGGTGGACAATCGATTTCAACACAGCGTGTAGTCGTACGCGATTATGGACGAGATATACTGGTCAGTCTGTTTTTTTTTAAAGGGAATCTAAAGGAGCCTGTGGTTTTATTTGTTTTTCCAAAGATGGCACAACAGAGCTGAATAAATCAGGAAATTCCTGTGGACTAAAGATGAATTCAGATGTATCGCTTACAACAACAAATCCAACAGAAAAGAAACGTCCGTGCTATCTCAGAACAAATGCTTTCCCGAACACAAACAAAACGTCTTTCAGGGGGACTTTAATGTGAGCAAACGGAGCCCGACACGTGTGTCCTGTGCTGGGTTTGGTCGAAGCTTCAAAACAAAAAGGAACACAATGAAAATGGGGAATTTCTGGGCATGGATATCAATCACTGAGTGAAAGTATTGTAATGCCCCAGAGGATTCAAAATAATGCTTTTCAATCTAATTCTTAAGAAGATGTTGTTGCCGTTGTCTTGTGTTGACTTTTAATAACTGTGCTTACATACACAGCAAAATCTGATCATAGCCATCCAAAGGGGCGTTTGTTTTTTACTATAATATCGACCAGTCACAATGCAACAAATACCACAACTGGGTTTTAGAACTAAGTAACAATTCCATCCTGGAGGACATCCTTTTATTCAGCTGGGGACTTTGAAATAAAATGGAAAGTAAAAAAGAGCGCAAAAAAGAATCCCATTCTTGTTTTTGTTTAGTTTTTTTGTTTCCAGGCCTCATTGAACCGTTCTCTCGGAGAATACTAAAGTCGAAATGAGTCAAACCTGATGATTGGCTGTTACTGTACAGCTTGTTAAACTAAAATCTGTTCACTTCACAAAGGAAACAGGGAACTCTCGTTTACTCTGTTGTCTGGCTGTGGGAATACATTCTTTGTGCTCAGTTTAAAAATCCAGCGGAGGTTCAAAGGTATCTCTGAAGACATTTCCTTCGTTTTCACGTTCTGATGGTTTGTTCTTCTTCCATTCAGCAACACGTCCGACCCTTTAACGGAAACATCAGCCGATAGTTAAGCCAGACTCCTCTGTCGTGGCTTGATCCTCAGATAAAGCTGGAAGACAGAAGAAAGACAGGTTCTCGTTAGTATATTAAGTTATGTCTTCCATCAAACTTTTGCATAACAGAACTGTTAGAATTGACATATTTGATCTTTATACATGAGAAAATAGCATTACCAAAATAAAACTCAACAGTTAAATTGTTGCAGACTCAATAGAAAATGGTCAGTTTCATGCACATTTGAAGTTTTCTAACATTTATCACATTGTGGGACTGCTACTATTCCAGCTAGCTGTAAGAGAACATTTATCAAACACTTTTGATGTTCAAATAAGAATTTCCTATCACATCTATTGAATGGGGGCTTTTCTGTGTGGAGGCTTCATGTATGAGTGGGACTCCAGCTTCCTCCCACCGTGCGAAACGTGCATGTTAGGTTAACTGGAGACTAAAATGCAAGCATGCCTACAGCCTCTCTGCCAGAAGTGACCGAAGTCCCTGATACCAAGAGAACAAATCTTTCCTCTGAGTCCGGCACCTGGACCGCACATGAAACTGAAAGACAGAAACCAGGAACCAGTACTCGTCCAAACCATTACCTAAACAACAAAGACCCCGTAACTTATTGGAAAGTCGAACTTCTCAGTGGATGTCTCAGTCACCTAAACCCAGGGATGATGATGAGGGAGAGAAAGATCCGGACCATGTCAGAGGTAACCAGCCAGTAAGACCCGGTTTTGTTAGGTCCGGCCTTTCTACTGTACTGCGACCTAAATAAA